CGGTTCCTTGTTGCAAGGATTGATTATAGATTGCTGTAAGTGCCTCACACTTACAGCACTTTGGGGCGACTCCTATGGAAGAAATCTGGAATAGAGTGTAATATATGGAATAAAATATGAAATGTAATAAAGTTATAATTCTGCATTAGAGGTCTAACTGAGCAAACCTACATCAACCATGATGGGTGGAACTTATTGGCTAAGAAACCTTTCATTCACTAGCTTGAAGCTTGCTTTACATGTAAGAGAATATTGTTATTTTCACGCTTCCCTTACTGAAATCTTGATATCAGCTTAATATATGTTTAAGTTTACCTTGCTGCAATACCGTTTGTTTATATGAATTGATGGCAGAAACCCAAGAAATGCATGCATAATGTAAATTTGTTTCTAATGCGAAGTTAGGGCCAAGAAAACATATCCCAACAGCCTGTACAAGCTCGCTCAGTGGTGAAAAAAGTGAAAATATGAAATGAAGACAAGCTTATATGAAAGTAGTTGTTTGGACTGTGCATCGCCTTGATAACCCCTCATGGCATTTACATCCCAATAGCAATAACAGACTGAGAACATCAACATTAAGATACTTTGCTGTTAGGGTAATAGATAACATCCTCAGAACTAAAACACTATTGCCTCCTGGATCCACAGCTACTTTGGCAATGTTATGACGAAACTCATGATCAATAACAGAACAGATGCATGAAATTAAAACTTGCCTTAATTTGTTAGATATGTATCATATTTGCTAGAGTATTGAAGTATCAACAGGAATACCAAGACCTAGTGTTCTAATTCTTACACCTTCCTTGTACTAAAGCACTAACTTGTACAAATGTGTTAAACTCTACAAGCTAAACAATGACTGAGCAGTGCCTCCTTAACTATTAAAATATTAAGCTAGTAGTCGTAAATCCGTAGGAACTATTTCCAATTATTACAAGACACTCGGCACTTTATTTTGGGAAATACTCTGTTGTCTGAAACATACCATTAATTAAGAGGCTACTGGTTTGTCAGCTTTTCTGTGATGTGATTGGTTGCTTTGCTTGTTTAATATGCTAGTCAGCAAGTAATGCGATGCCTAAATTACTCGAGGCGCCTCAGATTCATTTTTCAAACGGCCATGAATGTTTCTATTAATGATTTACATCTGTAGGTTCTAATTGTACTGTTATTCTATTTTTACTGTATTGCTTTCAGTTTAATATACCTGTTGATACCTGGGCCCATCTGCGAACCTGTATATCCTGCTGCCAATACAACCTCCCAGCAAACATACAGCAATACCAGTGGTCCTATTCCAATGCCCAAGGCAGAACCAAGCGCGCCAATGCATCCAGCCACACCAAGTCCTATCAGGGCACCTGGGTTTATAAGTGACACCCGCCAGAACACGAATTCGAAGACGGCCATGAACAGGTGTACGATGATGATCGTCCATACGACTCCCATAATGAACTCTGGCACGGTCCGCGACCTAAGGAAGCGTAGTAGGCTCTCCAACATTTTGTCTATGTTCCTTCGGTTCTGCAACATAAAGTGAAAAATGTGAAACACAGGAAGCATGCAGTACAGTTCCCAAAATATCATCATTAACGTTCAGCAGGGTACCTGCAGTATGGTCAAGAAATTTCTCACATTCAGGGGAGCCTCTTCGACAACACCCTGGCCTTTGAGCTGTTTAATTTGAGATGCCCTGCTTCAGTAGCACGTTTGTGGGTTACGTTTTCCTTTCCACTTCGTTTTAAATTGATAGGTTGTGCGTCTAAGGTTGAAATTGAAAGCATGAATAGCTTTAAACAAATGATCTCTGTTACGTTCGTTATTTGGTAAAATAAGCTTAACTGAACAGAAAACTGAGGCTAAAGAAAAAATTTTAGAAATGTAGGCTTATATTTGTGCACGATGCAGTCGTTCCTTTAAGCGCGTGTTCCTTCAAGAGTTCAAATCACGTTCGAGCAAAACTAAAACCCGGGCCGACTGAAATAATTCACCAGAGGCTACCAATATTTGATAACACTTCCTTTATTAGAGCTCAGTAAAACTCTCAAATTGGACGTTTTTGGAACAGAGGAATTTTTGCCGAGAACAGGTATAAATGAACAAACTGACGCGAGCGTGCAACCCACGGTCAAATGGATCGAGCGTATAAGCCAATCAGAACGGGCGCTTCCCTGAGGCTACAGTATGTTATAAACCTATTTTATCCCTGCCCAGAAAGATCATAAAAAAAGAAGGAGAAAAGCTGGTTTAAAATCGCTATAAAATAGGGTTGTGAGTGGCACATTTGTTAACAAATGGGATTGAAATAGTATTTAAGTGAAAATCGCATACAAATAACAACTAAATAGATTAAAAATAGATAAAAAGATTTCAGAAAAATAGTAATAAGATGTGACGACATGATTGATCATGCAGTTATACACACAACTTAGCCAGTTGTGAAATTAAAGCCTGAAAAAAATTCAGGCTTGAACGAGATTCGATTCCATGACCTCTGCGATACCGGCCATAGGGTTCGAATTCCGTTCGATTCAAGCCTAAATTCTTTTTGTAAGTGCTTTTTACTCAGGCTATCGGTAATGAAATGGATGGCTTTACATTGAGACCTCGGCATTGGAAGTCCAATACTCACGACCTGTTCAAGTCGTGAAGGTTATGATTCAAGTCGTTCGAGTGGTACGACTCGTACGAGTCGTAAAATAAAGCTAACAATTGGTACGATTGAGTTAAGTGATGAATGTGGTACTTTTCGGTGAAATAAAAAAAAGTATTACTTGGAACTTTGCATATCATTACCACGATTATTAGTTGAGTAAGGCGCGCCGGAAGTTTGGTAACCAGGTTTTAACGTTTTTATCGTGTTGTTGTCACGGGCAACTGGCTTCGTTTCCAATGGCAACTTGTTGGTCTTTGAAGTCATGAGAAGCAAAGCGCGCGAAATTGTAGGCGACGATATTGTTACTATTGGAAACAAGGAAATTTATCCGTGGCAACACCGTAATTTTAAGGCCAAACCTTCCTCACCAAAACTCTGTCACGCCTTACTCAACTGATAATCGTAGTATGGACACTTAAGAGTATTTCAGCCCAAGTTTAAGGAAGGGGCCTCGTCAACTCGTACGACTCGTACAACTCGTGCCGACTGGTGAATTGAACTGCAAGGAGTCTTGTTAACTCATTTGATTCTTTTAAAGTCGTGAAACTGAAGAAACTGTTTCACTTGAGTCACTTCATTTTATACTTTCTATTTTTTAAATTTTTGTTGGCCTTCCATTCAATCAAAATTCCACATTTCGCGTGTTTTTTAAATATTGTTCTCGGCAGAGAACATAAGCGAACATAAGCATAAGCATAAGCATTCGAACATAAGCGAAAATGCGACAACTGTTGCAGAGTGCAAGAAAGATATCATTGTTGGAGGCTGTAGCACTACAGCAAGCTAAGGAGAGAGTATTCTCCCTTATTCAATATCTCGATGACACTCGCCCAGAAACGAGAAAAAGACGAAAGAAGTGGGCTGATCTGTGCGAAGTCATATCGACAGAGGGAGGCATCGAGGACTTCTTCGATCTCGGTCTCACCGCTACTGTAAAAAGGTCTTAAAAACTAGAGATTTTCATGGCCTGTTAATTCAACTCTGGCCTCTGGTGGAAATCTCGACATTGTCAAGGTAGATAAGACGCGAATTTGCAATAAGCCGTAGCCTGCTAACTAGTGAATTCAAACGATTCCCCGAGTACCAGACAAAATAATGCGGAAATCATGACACGGCAAATTAAACTGGCGGATCGAGTGAAAAATAGATAGGTTGCGAACAGTCTAGCTATGTATTTGTGGATTTCATATACAAGCAACCACACGCACGAGGTCGATAATCCGGCCAAGTTTCTCAAGGCCCTTCCGTATACACAATTGTTTTAAGACAGAGAATAGACTGCAAGGCTGTTTCGTCCTTCTTGGGACTCATGAGCACTGTGTAACGAAGATATGTAACGCCAGCCCAACAGCCAACGCTCATAAATGCAAAATGATAATTCGTTCACTATATCAAGTTCCGTACTTTGAACTCACTTGCGCCCCGAAACATGCGTTGCCACATCACGTGTTTTGGGGCGCAAGGAGACAAAATGTCTCGATGGGTGTCTCGAAAAGCAAANTTCACTATATCAAGTTCCGTACTTTGAACTCACTTGCGCCCCGAAACATGCGTTGCCACATCACGTGTTTTGGGGCGCAAGGAGACAAAATGTCTCGATGGGTGTCTCGAAAAGCAAAATATTAATTATGTGGCTGGACAAGGCCAGCCTAAACATTTAACCGCATGGCCAGCTCCATTCTTTAAAACGCAGCGTATCGGATCGGATCCTTACGCCTCAAAACACGTGATGTGGCGACGCGTGTTTAAGGGCGCAGGTGAGTTCAAAGTACGGAGCTTGATATGGTGAACGAGTCATTTTGCAATTTATGTGCGTTGGCTGTTGGACTGGTTACATATCTTCGCTACAAGGTGCTGATGAGTCTCAAGAAGGACAAAACAGCTGTCCAGTGTTGCGATCCTGCTTTATCGGTCACTTGCAGTCACTTGCAGTTTCTGGTTTCACAACTGTTTTGTTCTTTGAGCAACGAAATATATTTCATCTGCAAAATTAAAACGAATCAAGTTTTAATAAATGTACAAAGAAAGTAAAATAAATGATTTAGATTCTACCATATCGACAGGAGATTGTCTCGCTAAAAGAAGAATGACAAAAACAAAGTGAAGAAGAATTGTATTCATTTACTGACACTGCATTGAAACTTTTGTCAAGATTTTGTAGGCGAATTTTCGATAATTTTAATACTAGAACGAAATATGCAAATTTGTGTTACTTGCCGGTTTCGCTACCAATCATATCGAGTTCGTTACGTTCGTGTTCGCTACACGTTCACTACACACAACTTCCAATTCGCTGCCTATTTAATTCGAGTTAGCTACTATCGATAAACTAAAACTTTGCGAAACAAACTGTGTCAAAACTTAATCCAACCGTACCTACCATACTCGACGCTTCTGGAGGACGCTCCTTCGATACCGCATAAATGAGCGATCACCACTGAAACCTATGAAACAGCTGAAATGTCTGTGCTTAACTTTTCTTCGACCATTCTGCCGCTAAATACTGAGCGATTTTCACAAACGTGTGTTTGTTGTGACTTGCAAGTGGGGGTGGGAAAATTAAAAAGAATTGAAAAGAATCGAAGTGCAAACTTTATTCATTAGATTGTAGAAGTTGTAAGACAGTGTCGAATGCATGTATGCTGAACGATGTCGCGCTTATAATGCTGACACACATTTATAGCGTTCCCAGGTTTCTTTTGGGAAAGCTTCAAATTACTCCAGGCTAAATTTTACATATGTTCAAGTTCAATAATTGTTTTATAACATATTATAATAAGGTTTGCATATAAAGCACGCTTTGCTTGGCGAAACAGCGTGCTTTATCAAAGAACAGATGCACAGTAAGCTTAATTTGAATTTTTTTGCTTCGCAATTTTCACAAATTTGACCCGAATTACACTTTCCCTGTGAATCAGACAAACGTAATGGAAACGAGCTCTTTGTCTGCGGTAAACATAGCTGCCTGGAGGCCATTGTTAACGACACAACAACGGAGGTGTTTTGTTGAGTTCCCAGAAAACAAGTAGCGAAATAAACAAATTCTCAACCTAGCGAATGCTTCGATAAAAGACATTATATCTAGTTACAAAGGCTGAAGTTATACTTAAGAAGTAAAAACAACAGAAAACACCACTTGAGCTATCCCTGTTTATGATGAGGAGCTTTATTTTTGTAAAACACTTACATGGGGAGTGTAATTACGCTTGTTCGCTTAAGATCGATCTCTGGTCATCTTGGCGAAGTAAAACTCAACAATTACAACACTCACCCGACGAGTAACCAGCTAAAAGCTTGCTCTGATATTCTCTCCTGTACTCGGAGTAGAACCAGGAGGAGCAGTTTAGTCTTTCAAATTTGTCGCCAGTTCGGGAAATCTTGCTGTAAGCCGAAAGCTTAAATAACTGTAGTTCCTTTCAAATACAACTCAGCATTTTGCATTTTCATCCGCAAGCTTTGAACTCTCTGTTTCTACTGATTTCCATTGGAAAAGTGCACGTCTTCATAGGCTGCAGTACTGCCGGATTCCTGTTAGAACCTTATTTTCAAATCAAACTAAAACGCGAAGTTTGAAGCGATTGTCCTTCTCTCGAAGGCCACTCGAAACCGAAAGTTGAGCATTGTCAGCTTTTGACTCGTTAGCCAATCAAATTATTTGAACAATTCTAAGAAGGATTGTGATCGGATTATTTTAGCGTGCTTTATCAGAGAAGAGATGCTCGCTGCCGCCACTTTTCCTCGTTTGGAAAATAAAGTTTGGTTGAAAATTCAGCCAAATGCATGGGGAAATTAATGCATTCTGAAGCAAATAAATAAGCGTTGACTGTGCTCTGTTCTGTTTCAAAGCACTTAGGAAGTGTCAAAGCACTCAAGAAGTAGAGAGGAACACTCGACTACACAATCGACTACCTTTAGCCCGTTTTCCCGCCTACACTTCTTTCCTGTGTGCTTTACAACAGAACAGAGCACAGTTGAGGCTTCTTTATTGGTTAAGCCGGATACATCTGGATATAGCAGCGTTACACAACTAGCTACAACTTCAAAGTTTCCCTCCAGGGAATGTTAAAGAAACATTATGTTTAGCCTCGGCGAAAATTGTCGTAGCATCTCAGCACAAAAGCGAAAGTACAAAGGAAGAATTCTCTGTCTATCAGGCGTATATACAACCTAGTTATAGAGTAGGATGAGAGTTTATGAATAAAGGAATTAAAAAATAAAGAGGTTACCTTTGTCTCCTCGCCACCAAACACCAACAAAAAAGTAACCAGAGTGAAGTAGTCGAGGTGTATAAGTTGTTCGAACGAAGATTGTCTGTATGCAAATTTGAATGATGTCTGTTGTTCCGTTGTCTAGGGAACTCGAAAGCAGAGCATGCGCTTCAAAGTTCGTATAATATAAACAGTTCTAATATGATTGATGACTTTCAATAGCGAGAAACCATTGGCGACCCTAAAAGCTGGATTGACGGAACGGAGGAATCAAGGAATCGTGACGAAACGGCGGAACGGCGAAAATTCACCCGAAATCCTAAAAGACGGAATGACGGAAAATCTCCCAAAATCCTTGAAGCCGGAACTCGAGGGTCTACAGATGTTATGGATGTCGGCAAAACATTCGTCCCAAACCCAGAAAGGCGAAGCAGAAGTAGTTCCTCCACCACCTTAGGACTTTGTTGTTGCACGACTGGAACTCAGGCCAAAGTTGTCTTGCATTCACAACTCCCACAGTCCGCTGGATGCATATCTTCCGAGTTACATTACATATACATATACTTTATTTCCTCTCGAATTTTCAGTAGCTAAAATCAGCTAATATCTTCGAGAACTCTAACAACATTATGTTATATATGATATTATACTCCAAAAAGATATTAAACATTGCTAGCAAAGATAATTTAGTTAATTCCGGCTATTAGGATTTCGGGTGATTTTCTGCTGTTCCATCATTTCGTCATTCCGCCGTTCCGCTGTTCCACCGTTCCATCATTCCGGCTTTTAGGTTGGTCTCAGGAACCATAGCTTTTTAGAATGCAACTATACTTTTTTTGAGAACCGGCCGTGTTGTTATTGCTTTCTTAGCTGTTTCGTTTGCATTTGCTTAAGTGTTTCATAAGGCGTCAGCTAAACGATCAAAAAACTTCATCAGACACTTATATAAGGGGGGTCCTAGGACACCTCTTAATTTTACAAAATAAGACCCCCAGAGGTTATCCATTTCATAAAAAAATGAATAACCTCTGGGGGTCTTATTTGGTAAAATTAAAAAGTGTCACAGAACCCCCCTTATTTATGTGTTGTGGCTAATTTATAACGAGCAGCCACGGTTAATAGCGGTTATTCAAATTCTAAGCTGTTTAGCCGAGCATGAAGTTTTTGTCATAAAAACTAGACAAGACATGTTTCGCGTGGCCGCTCGTTATAAATAAAGCACAGCACAGTTCAAATTCAGTCTTGCAATGACGTCAATAAGGGAAACCCCCATACCCTATCCAGCTGTAACTGTTGATCAGCTGTCTCTTTTTTCGCTCTAGAAAACATCTCTTTGTTCTACCGCGTTTCGGGCCCGATTTTTCCTCAAAAAAAGGCGAAAGGTGAGTGTTATTTTTATTGACCAGCCTGAGAAGAAATGATGTATTCCAACTAACTTTGGGGAAAAAGAGAAATTCGTCTGTAAAATTCCCCATGGTTTATACATTCCTGATGGCTTGAAAAATTTCTCTTGGCTTTAACTTGAGCAAAGAGGAATGCAACTGAAAGCTGTGAAGCCGTAGTCTCTTTTATGAAAACCTGAAGACCTCAAACTTGAGCAAAGAGGAAAACAACCCTAAGCTGTGCAGCAGCGTCAAAACGAGACTTCGTGTAAGCACTCGATCACTTCGCGTACAATTTCTCTAACGTTTCTCTGCCACTCAGTTGTGAAATAATCATTTACAAGAAACCCAAACATCTGAGAGATTACAATAATGTATTTATAATATTCAAATAAAACCGTATGTTTTCAAATGTTAATTCGAACCGGCGGTCGGAGCAGTTATTTTTTTGAGAAACTCTTCTTCTACTGTAGTCGCTTCAGATGTTTTTTTTCATTTTTGCAACGTCAGCCACATTTTTACGAGATGGCTGGCGTGTATGGTTAGCCCTGATGTCTTCTTTATGATATGATATTTTTCCGTTGTCTAGGGAACTCGAAAGCAGTGCATCCGCGTCAAAGGTCGTGTAATTTAAACGCTTCCAATATGATTGATGACTCTCAATAGCGAGAGATCATTGGCGACCCTAAAAGCTGGAATGATGGAACGGCGGAGCGGCGGAACGGCGGAAAATCACCCGAGATCCTAAAAGACGGAGTAACGCAACAGCAGAAAATCACCCAAAATCTTAAAAGACGGAATGACTGAAAGTCCCCCGAAATCCTAAAATACGGAACTCGAGGGTCTACAGATATTAAGGGTGTCAGCAAAACATCCGTCCCAAACCCCAGAAAGGCGAAGCAGAAGTACTTCTTCCACCACCTTGGGACTTTGTTCCTTCACGACTGGGACTCAGGCCAATATTTAATCGTTATGGGGAGTTAAGGATATCCATCAAGTCGGAGCCAGTGCATTATCATCCAAAGTTGTTTTGTATTCATAACGCCCACAGTCCGCTGGATGCACATTTCCCGAATTACATTACATATATTTTATTTCCTCTCGAATTTTAAGTAGATAAAATTAGCTAATATCTTCGAGAACTCTAACCACATTATATTAAATAAGATATTATACTCCAGCAAGATATTAAACATTACTAGCAAAGATAATTTAGTTAATTCCGTCTTTAAGGATTTCGGATGATTTTCCGCCGTTCCGCTATTCCGCCGTTCCGTTATTCCACCGTTCCACCCTTCCGTCATCCCGGCTTTTAGGGTCTCCCCAGAAACCATAGCCTTTTAGAATCCAACTATACTTTTTTGAGAATTGGCCGTGTTGTTATTGCTTGCTAAGCTGTTTCGTTTGCATTTACGTAAGTGTTTCATAAGGCTTAAGCTAAACGATCTAACAAATTTGTCCAATGACATCGTGTTTGCCGAACTGTAGAATATATAGGGCACCGTTTCTGTTGAATTCACTGATCGTTTTGTTTTTCAGCAGAAATAAAACTCTTATCATCATCATCATCATCATCATCATTATCAGTATTCAAAAATTGACAATCTGTTGTCGCTCACTCGTAATTTGCGGTTCATTCAATCAGTCAAGTCAGAATAAAGGCTCAATTGCCAATAAATTACGAAATTTGCCTTAGATGTTGGATTATTTTAATTATTAACAACATCGAAATAAATAACTGCAGATGGTAAAAGTAAAAAGGTAAAGTCAGCATACGGGCAAAGTGGCCCACAAGGCCGGAGCTTATCCCGGTTTCTGTAGCATGAAGCGACTAGGAGTACTTCTACTCCCCCCTGGATTGGATGCTAGTCCATCGCAGGGTTACCCCCAGCATTACGTTCTCCGGTACCCATTTATACACCTGGGTGGAGAGAGGCACTGTGAGAGTAAAGTGTGTTGCCAAAGAGGAGAGCAGAAAAAAACTTGTGCTTCTAGCCAGTATATTTCAAGAACATATATATCTGCTGTTGTTTTGTCTACAATGATCTCTTTACGTTCGTTGCCTGATTGCAATAATCTGCGAACTTAACATCGTTTTACCACGCCATTGGTCTCATCGTCGCTTAGGATGACTACTTTAGTACGATCTTTCCTGTTTTGTTTCTTTCTTCCCAGAGTTTCCTTATTTGAAGTGATATCCCGGGGCAAGAGAAGAGCAAGGTAAGGAAGTGAATCCCCCATATAGGACTTTTACCCAAGGTAATCCCTCTTAAGTTATTTTTAGACATGGTACCCAGTCTCTTAGCGGGAGTTACTCGCGCGATGTGTGGACAACCCAAGCGAATTTCTCACAACTGCCTGAGACGAAATGGCGGGAAATGTGGTGAGTAGTCATTTTATATGTTTTTATCTTCAAAAGACGTTTCATAGCGAAAACGTTTTCTGCACCCTGGGCCGTCTTTTCGTTCTGCTAGGCTTTCGTTTGCTTTGTGCTCGTTTGGCTGTTCATTATTTTGCCTTTCATTCGAAACCTCAACAGCAACGGTAACGTGTACAGTGGCTGTGTAAACGTCTGCTCTAATATTTTGTTCATTCTTTGGCGTTCTTTACAAAACAACAACGTGAACCGACAGCCACTGCATTTTCGAGAGAACGTTAACTACGACGGCCAGGTTAAATATAAATATAAGGTCGTTGAATATGTTGTCCTTGGCGTTGTTTTCGTTGTTGCTTAAACTGCTTTTNGGTTACCCCCAGCATTACGTTCTCCGGTACCCATTTATACACCTGGGCGGAGAGAGGCACTGTGAGAGTAAAGTGTCTTGCCCAAGAGGGAGCAGAAAAAAACTTGTGCTTCTAGCTACTATATTTCAAGAACATATATATCTGCTGTTGTTTTTTCTACAATGATCTCTTTGCGTTCGTTGCCTGATTGCAATAATCTGCGAACTTAACATCCTTTTACCACGCCCTTGGTCTCATCGTCGCCTACGATGATTACTTTAGTACGATCTTTCCTGCTTTGTTTCTTTCTTCCCAGAGTTTCCTTCTTTGAAGTGATATCCCGGGACAAGAGAAGATCAAGGTAAGGAAGTGAATCCCCCATATAGGACTTTTACCCAAGGTAATCCCTCTTTAGTTATTTTTAGACATGGTACCCAGTCCCTCAGCGGGAGTTACTCGCACGATGCGTGGACGACCCAAGCGAATTTCTCACAACTACCTGAGACGAAATGGCGGGAAACGTGAAGAAGACGTTTCATAGCGAAAACGTTTTCTGCACTCCTGGGCCGTCTTTTCGTTCTGCTGGGCTTTCGTTTGCTTTGTGCTCGTTTGGCTGTTCATTATTTTGCATTTTGCCTTTCATTCGAAACCTCAACAGCAACGGTAACGTGTAGAGTGGCTGTGTAAACGTCTGTTGTAATATTTTGTTCATTTTTTTTTTGCCGTTCTTTACAAAACAACAACGTGAACCGACGGACACATTCTGCATTTTCGAGAGAACGTAAACTACACGGCCAGGTTAAATATAAAGGTTGAATAGAAAGTCGTTGAATATGTCGGTTGTCCAAGGTGTTGTTTTCGTTGTTGCTTAAACTGCTTTTTGCTGTTTAGGCGGTGAGCGTCTGTCTGCACTGAAAAAGAACTGATAAAGTTGCAATTGGTCGATAATTCGCTGGGTCGGTTGCGTCGCCTCCCTTGTCAACAGGAGTTATTTTTGATATTTTGAATATATCTGTAAAGGAATTGAATGTAACATTTGGAATAAAATATGTAATGTAATAAAGTTATAATTCTGCTTTAGAGGTCTAAGAAAACCTGCATTAAGCAAGATTGGTAAAACTTATAGCCTAAGAAACTCACTGGCTTGAAGCTAGCTTTACATGTATAATTTCATACTTCCTTCACGGAAAGGTTGTTATCAGCGTAATATTAGTTTACGTTTAGCTTTTGTTGCAATACCTTTTGTTTATAAAGTGATCGCAAAAATCCAAGAAGCACACGTTTACTTAAACAGTCCCTTATTAAGGCTACTAGTGGTAGATATTAAATGTACAAGTTTTTAGCCATAACTTCTTCTAATACGAATTATGCTTGAACGCTAAACCATGTGTTACGGCCAAGAAAACATGTCCCAGTAGCCTGTACAAACTCCCTCGTTAAGAAAAGGTGAAAAATATGAAATGAAGTTGTTTGGATTGTGCATCACCTTGGTAACCCCTCCCTCTTGGCATTTAC